CCCCCCCCCCCCAAAAAAAAAAAAAAAAAAAAAAAAGGTGATGACAGTCTGAAATGCAACAGCTGAATCATGGAAAACTGAAGTACATGAAACGTTAAGTTGATGCAACATAGTCTCCTGCCCTTTGGTTGCAATAAGTCCTCTTTCCAATTGCCATCTTTGCAAAGCATTAAGCTGTTTAATGTCGAAGCATATCCATCATATATTACTTCAATACACACATTTGGCGACCATGGGATTCACAATCGGAACTTCTAAAGATGATCCTCCAGATAGAACAATTATCGTCATTGTTCTAACAATGTAAAGGAGTATATCACCTTAAATTGTTTTTCCATTTTACTTTCCAGTAATTATGGCGTAAAGAAGATGTTAGAAGAGCTGCATGGAGTGTTCTCACCCTGACAGCATAAGTTGTCGCTCTCTATTAAACTGAACTTTTTTTGGGTAGGTGGAAGTTAGGAACTTGAAGTACCTTGTAATGAAGAGCCTCGCGTGCACCCCCAGGATAGAGGAGAACATGTGCTTTTTCCGATAACAATTTGTATAGATTGTTAGCAGTGACAGGTACTGCACCAAATACTTTCACCCAGTCAACCATAGAAATTTCAGAAGATTCAGACTCGAGCCTTCCCAAGAACAATTCTGGATGTGCTATTCCACGAACCACAAGATTCTTCTCTCTCATGAATCCTTCAACTAAAGGACTAAGCTCCATTCCTAATAAATTGTGATAACCTACTAGCAACACGGGACCTTGATTAGGAACTCCAGAAAGACCTTGGACTATAGTTCCATCTTCCAAAGTTGAGAACATCGTAGAACCAGTGAGAAAATGAAATAGTCTGCAAAATACACGATAGCCTTTAATAGTTTTCCTTTCGGACTACAGAAGTAAATCTGAGGAGAAAGTTAACAGGTTGGTCCATGCATGGTGTAGTGTAGCAAAGCCCAGCCAAGCCAATTATATGCTATGACCAGTGTACTTCAAGTGTATTAGTGTCAATCTAAAAGTTATTTATAGCAAAATCTTGTTCATCAGCAGCATCATATATTCTAAGTAAGAGTTTCTCCAGATTTGCGTGAGCAAACTATGCAAATTAAGGGTTTCATGAGGCTTCAGATGGTTTGATTAGTTATTTTTTGTATTGTCCATGAGTATTCTTTAAAAAAAAAATGAAAAATTGTTTTTTTTTTTCCATTAAAGAAATGAACACAAAAAATCAAGAAAAGATGTAAACAATGAATATAAACTAATCCAAAAAAAGGTAATTGTTCTTTATGTCCGCACATATTTGAATATATCAGAAAATTATTCACCTAAAATAAAGGTGGCTACAAAATCTCCTTCTAAATAATATTGATTTTCGCTGGCTGGGTCTACAAAATTTTGAATTCACAAGTGAGGGAGAGTGCAAAAGTACTGATAAAAAGATGAAATTTACTGTGACCGATTAACTTAAAAAATTTTCTTTTCAGTTGATTGGTGTTAGGGTATTAACATACATATTATACCACATGAATTTGACCAATTTTCATGTACAAAATTTCTGCCTACAGCAGCTACCAAGAGAGGGAGTGAAATAAGCACCAATTGATATAAAAATTACCCTGTCACTTCAGTAAAAGCATATTTGTACTCTGCTAAACTGGGCGGAAGATAATCTGAAATAACATCATGCTTTCTTGATCGACGATACTTGTAAGTGCTTTTAATTATTGTCAATAAACCAATACCGTCTTCCTGTTACATGATACCATGGTGAAAAGTCATATGATTTTACTTGAAACATAGAAAGAAAAGTGTGTTATAAGCTTGCTGCAGCTCTCTTTTACAGCATTTTTTTAACCAGAAGCAAAAACATTTGTGTTAATTTGAATGAGACATGGGAATACTAAAGAATTAGCGTAAACAAAGCTCACAGAGCAAATATTTTTTTTATTATTATTTTATTAAAAGAGAATATTTTCATTGAAGTAATGAAAACAGACTAATGCTTAAGAGTACAAATTCCAAATGGTAAAAGTAAAACATAAGGAAAAAAAAATATAAACAGAAGCATCAAAACTAACTAGAAACAAAGACGTCCCAATTAAACCAAACATCATGCCAAGAAGAAGCAGAATAGAAAGGAGCAACATTGTGCAGCTTTTAGTTTAGCCAACTCAAACCGATCAAACCACGATTTCCGAACATTCTCGAAGATACAATGACTTTGCTCTAACCAATTTTCAGAAATTAAAGCACTCGTTGCATTAGACCAAAGTATTTGAGATTTTGAAGGCAAGGAAAGCCCAATGAGAAGTCGAAGAATATTGGCCTTTGAATTGAAAAAAAACCCAAATTTGAAACACCGAGTTCCAGCCAAATAGCATATTTAGGTTCTTAAAGATCGGAAAATATAATGTATTTTTTATAATTTCCTAGCATGAATGAGGATTTTTCTTTTAAACCTGGCGCTAGTGTATGTTTTCTACCAGCAAAGCATCATAGTGTTCTCTACCATAGTTTCACATACCAATAATAAGGTGTGCCCATTTTCCTTGAAATAGCGTACTGTACAATTCTGTAATGACTTCCGAAGTCGTTGGGCTTCATCCCCACTTGGGACCATGTTATCCTGGCCACTGAAAGGCGTAACAAATTTTAATTATTATAAGAACGTTGGACCAACTACGACACAATACTATTCTGATTATTGAGTAAGATGATTAACAATTTAAAATAAAGCAGAACTCGAGCAGAATTATTTTAGCAGGAAGTGGTTCATGATAGACCAAGGATAGGAACCTAACTTGAGATCGAAGGTTGCTAAACTGTACTACAAGATCAGAGAAAAAAAATACACGAGTAATAGCTTTCCGAGAAGGCCATTTGTTTCCAACAAAAACTTCCCAAGTTATTGCTTAACTCTACTTTTTTAACGCTATCTATAACCAAACTTTCCTTGATCCTTAATCCTGTCGACCATCTAATCCACTGTCTTACAGCATACCACGGTATATTGAATAAGGTTATGTTAGCTAATCTAATGGAGGCTGTGGGAACCGAACTAAAAAAAGTTCAACAAATGATGCAACAAATTAAGGTATTTGTGGCGTTGTATTTAGTAAACCACTCGTACCCTTCTATATTTGCATTCTGTTTCATCCTCCACAAGGCAAGGAGGGTAGGTTAATTTAGCGAATTGAGGTTTGTGCTATTTTATGGGCCTCTGGAGAAAGAGGAATGATAGAATCATCAATAATTGGCCCTTGTTCAAGAGTGACCAGGGATTCTCTCTGAGTTTGATCCTGGCTCAGAAGGCTTGAGAGAACTTCGAGTGGTGTTTGATCCTGGTTCTATGTAGCTTTTTTGTACCTTAAGATTTTGTTTTACTCGATTGAAGGCCCATTTTATAGTTTGTCCCTTTTTATTTTGTGGACTTTAATTTTGTATGCTCTTGTATTCTTCCATTTTTTTCTCCATGGTTGTAATTCAATTATTCATCCAAAAGAAAAAAACTACCACTAACAACCACACACACACTCAGTTCTGGGTAAAAACCTAGCAAGCACAAGTACTTCGGCATTAACAGCATGGAGACGAGAATTTGCATAAGCAGCAGCTGATTTGAGCAGCTTCAGCTTCCAAAGAAGGGTATCCTTCGGTATAATGCTAGCCAAATCCTGAAAATAGAAAGGAAGAGAAAAAAAAATTCAACTCGATCAGATCGATCATGTAAGAAAATTACAATGCCAAGGGAAAAGATATGATAACTTAGTTTAGATTACTACAAGTAAGCCTATTACTGCATTGCCTTATAGAAAATTCCCAGCTACAATGCATGGCTTGAAGTTATAATAAACCAACTTACACTTTAAGATATAAATAAGGCTGGAACATATAAATTACACCCAAAACTTGGTGTGGCTTAATTTTAATTTTTCAAAAAAAAAAAAAAAAAAAATCTCATCTTGTATTGTATTGTTTCCTCTAGTCAAGTCTTGGTATAATAAAATATTAAAAGAAAAATTATGTGACACTTTATGAGGCTATCAATTAGGCAATAAGATATTTAATGGGTCCAATTTATGTAATTACAAATTATTCTAGGTTAGGTAAGTTATAATGAGTAATGTTATCAGAAGTGTGTAGGACTTTTATTTTTGGGTAGACATATCTACTTCATCAAATTCAAGTACATATATTTTGTGTTTTCATCTCAGTTAATAAAATATATTTTGACTTCACATCATAATTGAAATAGTAAATGTAATCTTTTATTCATATTCTTTGTACTCCTCCACACTCGTGAACCTAGAAATTAGCAAGACATTCAACAAGTGACTTGATGTTTTATTCATTCTTAAAAGTAACAAAAGAACCCACCTCAAAAATCTCAACTTTTATCACACAATGCATTATGAAGGTCAAAACTTTTCTATTTCTAAAATAGAATCTACTTAACAAAGGCAGTTAGGAAAGGATAGAGATGGGAAAAAACGTACAGCAAGCTAGGCAGAAAATTCTGTGTATTTTGAGGGTGAAAAGAACTCTGAGATGGAAAGCTTATCCATGATAGTAAGGGGCACATCAATATATATTTTTTCTTTTAAAGGCAGTCCCTTAGGAGGCATTTTAGAAAGTACTATTTAAAATGCACAGTTTACACTGTAACCAAATTCTAAGAAAAACCATCATATCCTCCTTACCGAAAGATAGGGTAGTAAAGCAGTCAAGTTCTGTGACACTTTTTCTAATTTCTGCATTGGAGGAAGCTTACTTTCAACATTCACTGTTGACATTTTCAACGGGACACCTGGTGTAGAAGTAGAGATAGTTATAAAGTAACATCCGAAAGAGAATTCCAGGAATCTTTACACTGCACCAAACTACCAAAAGCGTAAATCTCATTCAAACAAAAAATGACACAGGAAAAAGATCAGCCGAATTTACTCAAGAAAAATATTAATTATATAAAACGCAGAAACGTTTTGTAGGCTATAACTGAAATGAAACAAAGAATTTCAGAAGTTTTTGCAGTAGTGTGCAAAGGAAACTAGGCAGCAAACTCAGTAGCCGCAACCTCATATTCTTCAAATTGACCCTAGCAATTCCTTATTGTGAAGGTAGTAAGAAGAAAAGGCAGTGATGAGTGAAGCATTGGGGACAGGCACTGCAATTATCCACCATTCTATTACTAGTGAACTCAATACTTGGTGAGATCAATGGTATACCAGAAGGAGGTCCTTTTCTTTTAACAGAAATTGACAATATATCAGGCACCAAACCTCCATCTTTACAATGTCTTAGGGGGCATACTCATCACCATCCAAGAAAATAGCGATCAAGAATCTGATCTTCAGCAATAGTATGGGTGGAAGGATGGATGCAAACGAAGGGAACGGTGCTAGATTCCCAATAATATACCTAAAGAAAAAAACAGACAATAAGGAGCAATCTACTTACTCATAACAAAACCAAGAAGATAGGGAACTGTTTCACGCAGTCCATCAGGCATAGCTTCTAACAACGGAAGTAAGGGCTGCAATTGAGACCTGCCAAAAGATGTAGCTAGTGGAAGACCATAAAACTGTCAGACTTACTGAAAAGCGCATGACCTAACAATGTCGTGATTACACGAACTTGAAGTTAAACTGCAAATACGAAACCAACCTGGATTTGCTAAAATCAGAACAAGGTCAATATTTGGATTACGTGAAGCCACTGCAAGTGCTAAGCATCCTCCAAATGAATCCCCAACTAAATAAATCGGTTTCTTTGGGGAAGAAGTATGCTCTGACCTGATAGTTTCTTCAACAAGCTTCACAAGTCCTTCAGATAACACAAGTCTGCTTCATCAGCAGTATATATAAATGTCTAGCAATTAATGAATAATAACAATAATGAAGACCTAACCAAGTTAAAAGTTCTATCTGCAGCCACAAATCTATACGAGTTCCCTAAAAACTACAGGAACTTAGATCAATAATTCCAATATACCTATCTTCAGTTAATTCTTGATTATGTCAATGTTGTACATCAAATAGCAAAGAATTTGACTTGACATCATTACTCTCTGGCTAAGAATCATACTCAGGTGATACATGGCTAGGAAAAAATTACCCACTCAATTTCTCCGGGAAAGGTTGAATACTGCTTTCAAACATCATATCTTATATTTTTCATCTGTTGATATTAACATTAACTAGATAGCTTTTTTATTTCCGTTGTAACTCTATTTATTCACATTCTTGTAGAGTTTGTACTTTGAACAAAAATCTATTTTCAGTTCTGTGAAAAGTTTAATTTGTTGTTTTAAAAAAAAAGTAGTTCCATTTTAACTTTTCTTGCCAGATCTTGTATTTTGTAGTCAGTTTACCCTCTGTTACTATTATTTACTCTTTCGACAGAATTGGTCAAATCAGTTGGGACTACTTGGGTTAGTTTTATGTTTTGCCCCGTTTGTGGACTTTATATGGCGGGTTCGAGGTTATAAACATATCATCAATTGAAAAAAAGTTGAGATTTGTGTTTTGAAGAAAAAAAAAACTTATCTAGCCATTAAGAAAAAGTTTAAACCTTCAAATGGTGTTCGATCTTGAACAGGAATATGTAGGCACCGAACTTCGAAAGCCCTGCGTCAAAAGATTGCTACTACTATGAACAAACTATACTTACAAGTGAAAAAAATGTCATCAATTCAAACATATTTATTATCCTATTCATAAATTAAATATAAAATGACAGAACATTTATCCAAAATTGGGGTTCATTTGTTCGTTCTTACACAAATCTTCCTTTGAGATTCCTAGGAATTTTTTTTATCCTTTTTATATTATAGAAGGAACATGTATCTCTCTAAAAATCACATGGAGAATTGAGAACAAGATAGTTCATGCTTGCAACGATCTTTAAGTCACATTCAAAAGATTCATGTTTCAGTTCCCAAGTAAATTTAGTTTGCATTGTTTTGTTGGTTCATTTGCCACTCCACCAAAGAGCCAGATGCAAATTTCATCGAGTATCAATTCAACAGTATGAGAAGTGAATGGCTTACTTCCCAAGGGCTTTATGATGCATGATAAGACCACATCCAGTGCCATCCAGTCCTACAAAGTACAGAACCAATACCAAATCCTAATTAGACAAACATCACTCACTTCCAAATCACAACAATTCATTGAAAGTTGTAAAAAGAATAAAGCATGTGTTCAAAGATTAAGCATACTACTAAATATTGACAAACAACCCTGTTTGCCGATTTTTTCCCCTCTGAACAGAAGCAAAGGAAACTTAGACAACTGTTTGGATGTATTTTCTAGAAGACAAGAACTATTTGCTATAATTCTTTCGAACGAGGTATTAAGAGCTCTAATTCTTTGAAGCTTTATTATAAAAAAAACGTTTTGTACATATTCAGTTACAATTAAAAACGCAGAAAAAAGCCATAATATTTTATTCATAGCCACAGATGACAACATATCATTTTTTATACATTCAGCCATTCCATATTTTAAATATTGAAATTAGTTTTTCAAATACAAAAGCTCAAAACACCCATTCTGCAGTTTTGAACTTGTCAACAAGAGCAGAATAATTACCAGGCAAAAACAAAAGAACTGGAGAACCCTTTAATGGGGATCCAGCTGCAACAGGGCAAAACCAACGAGGCAGACCGCCATCAGTATGCTGAGTAAAATCCTTAGCGGCAGCAAAGTAATCTTTCACAGTCACAGTCCCATACCCATCATCCCAAAATGGCTCCAACTTCTCTGGAACATCATCTCTCAACTTGATCTTCTTCTCTGCAGCTTCAGACTTTAACCCCCCATTGCCCTTATCTATTGAAGACCAACTTCCTTCCTTCGCCCCAACCAGAGAAGCTCCATTCACCACAGCTGAAACTGAATCAGCTGAAGCTCCACTTTCACTTCTAACTCGCACTCGCCATGAATTCCTACTCCTTTGAACTGAAGCTCCAAACAATGACACCCCAACGCCTAAACAAGCTGCCATGGCTTATGCAAGCAATGAGATAAGCCAGACCCTTTCTGCAACTTCGAAAAAACAAAACAACTTCAAGATCCAACACTTACCACTCCCCAGAACAGCTTAAATAAAGCAATCATTAAGTTCCCAAAGAGAAAAAGAGAAAACCCCTCTGAACTCTCGAATTAAAACAACACAACCAACCCGTTCTGCGTTCAGCTGAGAACAAAATGAATCACAAGAGAGTCGGCAACAAAAAGGGTAAACACAGATTTCCAGAAATATCACGAATATTTGAACTAGTCGGGAGAAAAGAAACAAAACAAAAAGAGAGAGTTTAGGGGTGGGGTTGTGAACTAGAGTGAGAATAAAAATAGAATTAAACTCGGGACGTGCAAGATGATAATATTAATTCATACCAACTGTACTGACGGCGGTAACTTGCTATTACAGAGAAAACTATCACCGAAAATCACCAAAAATATCGGCAACACCAACAATACAGTGGCCATACCGGGAAAAAAAGATATTCATTATCCCAATGCACCATTTTCGGGGTCGTGAAATTATCGATATACCGCCGATATTTGTATCCACTAGATTCAAAATTCTCTTGGAACACGTATCGAAGAACTGTTCGGAACCAGACAAAAACAAGGAAAGTAGAAGGGACCTACATTTCACAGTCACATTCATAATTAAGAAATTAGAACCCTACGAATTACGCGTGATGATCGGAATCACATACATACATAAACAATGCATTGGGAAAAGCAAATAGAAAAGTGCGAATAAAGTAGAATTACGTGCAGCATTGTTCAACGAGCTTGAAATTATGAATAATTGTCGCCTCATGCGAGTCCAATAGAGAGAGAGAGAGAGAGAGGGATAATGGGCCGCTGGTAGCCATTACCAGCAAGCCACGAGATCTTGCTCAGCTCGCGCTAAATTTCAACCACTCATGAACTGCGTCACAAACGTCTTATCAAAGCTTTTCTGAGATTATATGGTTATTATCTTATTATCAAATTGCTTTCAAAGAAAAAAAGAGAGAAGATATTTGTGTGTATATTTTAAATAATTATGAATATTTAAAAATTTTAATGACGTTAAAATAAATAAATAAAAGTTTTGGATTTAACTCGGATTTATTATTAATTTTATACTTTATATTTTTATTTACTATATAATTATATATACGTAATTTTATTTAATTTTTGTAATAATTTTTTTTATTATGTATTCTCGAATAATTTTAAAACAACTTTTTAATTATTTAGAAAGTCATTTTCCAAAATAAATACTCAAGTTAAATTTTAATTAAATATTTGAAATTAAATAAATAGATATTTTAAAAACTAATATTTTAATAACCATTTGAATGGGTTAAAGTTGTATTTATTATTTAATAAAATTTATTAGTGTTAAAAAATTTTAGGAATAATTAGGTTGGGTTTTAAAAATTTAACCTATAAACACTCTCCAATTCAGATTTTATTTTTAATTTAATTATTTTTATTTGGAATTATGATGTGAATATTGGCAGAAAGATTTAATTTTGTTAACAATATTATAGATTTTCCAAATTATTTTTTAGGCCGAGAAATTAAATTTTCAATTTTATGGTAATTAGATTGTTATTTACCGGAGTCTATGGAGTACGAATGAAAAGGCTTATTGAGTACAATTGATTAAGGGTATTTTTATGAAGAGCGTAAATAAAGGCTACTTGCATAAACTATAAGTACAGGATATCGATAGCAACAACCGATCATTACTACTAATTTAGGTATTTAATTTTATCGAGTTTTAAGTACAAGTCGACTGTAGTTGTAGCTTTAAGTCTATGAATAATTAAGAAGCTAGAAGACTATATTAACTTTATGATAAGTCTATTTTGCTGTAACGTGGATTAGATAGATGTGTTGGACTACAATAAGACTAATCACATCATTTATTATGCACTTCTAAACTTATAATGTCATTTGAGTTACCGTCCACTTGGGTTGGTTCGATTATTGACTTACCTGATTATATTAGGGTTTGGGGTCTAGTAGCTTCTTGTTTCATCTAGGCTATACGACCCACGTGACTCTTGATCTCACCTGCCTATACTATGAATGTAATCTTATTCTCTCGTTCAGAAGTTTAACTATTAAGTGTCGTTATTGTACTGAATGGTACGAATACCGCCCGCAATAAAGATAGTCGTAATGTTATGTTCCAAATCTATGTGTAGAAAATAAAGGCACACAAATTCCAAATTTACTTGCCAAATTTCAAGAAAGCATATCACCAAATTCTTAGTCTCATCTTTCACTTGTTCTGGAAATTGCCCCAAAAATAGGCCAATTTTTTTTATTATTTGTTTATAGCATTTTTTCTTGTGATTTAGCTCAAAAAGAAAAAAAGAATAACTCTATAGCTTTTTAGTTTAAACCTTAGGAATTATTTGCGTTTGTGACTTCAATGATAGCTAAGATGACGTTTGTAGCTTCAATGATAGCTAAGATGACGCAATGTAATATCTCATATTCGAAATTCGAAATTCGAACTAGAATTTGAAATTTAAATTTAATAACTATTGTATGATATGACATGATCAGATTATCTACTTGACTTAAACTGTTTAGTGTTTTATCCTCGTTCACATGTTTCGTAGAAAAATTCATGAGGCCACCCTACATAGAATTGATTCAAACTAAGCATGTTTAAGTTTAGAGCTACTACGATTAATTCGCAAGTTAGCTCGAACCTACAACTTGAATCTCCTACCACTCACCCACAAAACTCCATTGAAGTCCCAGCATGTTTAAGTTTAAGTTTGAATATTTCACCTCCAAATACCCAAATATTATGTCGAACCAAAACAAAAACTACGCATATAACTATGGTAAATATCAGGTTATTCGACATACTCAACAGATAGATAGAGATTTGAACTTTTGATTCGATCATCCATTTGTTGTATCATCAATCTATCAATCTGTATAAAGAAATCAAAATTGATAATACAAAATAGATAGATTCACAAAATTCATGTAGCCAAACAAGAACACTACAAGAACATTGGCAGTCAAGTTTCAGAATTTCATACGTTTAATGCAGAAGAAAACAGCAGAACAAGGACAAAATTTTCAAATGAAAATAGAAGAGAGCTCTGTTCCAGCAGAGAAGAGCACAAAGAGGGACCTCCTTTTTTATTTATGAATAAATAAATAAAAACAAAAATAAGCTTCACAACTTGGTTTTCTAAGACTAAAGAAGTATGTAGTAGTAAGCCACCATTCAAATCTACACAGCCTTTTCCACATTCATTACTCTAAAACTTAGTGTCCCTCCCACCAAATTTTCCATCCTCACGATTTCTCCTCCAAAAAGTCAAAAAAATACCCAAGCCTCTTCCCTATTGCAGTATTTTGTAAAAGCTACACCTTGCAGGCTAAATATGAAGATCGAAAAGTCTATAGCGCCTGCAGGTTTACCTTCGAAATGATGACCAGAAAATTCTCGGTAGGTTCGAGAAGCAATGCGGAACTGAGAAACGGGTTGATGAAGTTCAGATTTTCATTCATATCAAGCACCCCAAGATGAAGCAACATTCCCAGTTTCATCAGCAAAAGAATCACCTACATAAATGTTAACAGGACAAAGAAATGAAACTCAATGAGGGGCTGGCCACAGTGATGCATTCCAGATTTTCCTTTTTCAATAGCAAGAACCTGTTCGATAATGTGCGTATTTTGGTATCTTCTAACCCGTTTCATAATGCATTAATCTCAATTAAATCATTTTTGAAACACTTTTGTTAAATCGTTAATATCTCGTTAAATAAATGCAGCTTGAAAGGCTAGACACATGAAATAAACTCGTCCATCATTAAAATCCAACCTACCCATCAACAAATCCATTTCTTCCAAACCGTACATTCATATGTTCAAATATGTAAATAAAACAATAATTTGATGGGACATAAAAGCGTTATTCAGAATTTTCATGAAGTGGAACATCATACACTATAGAAGGGCAATACACACCTATTGCATGCATTCAACTGCTTTGAACCACTCTGTAATTGAGAACCAAATCCTCTGGCTTCTTCCAGATGTAATTCCTAACTGTGGCTAAGCTCATATCAGGAGACAAAACCTGAAATTTAACCCCAAAAAAGTAAATGAGCTGCTAAATACAACACCAATAAATACCAGAAGGCGTGTGTATGGAATTTAATGCCTGAACTCTGGAAGATAGAAACAAACCAGAAGCCTATAATTATTGGCTGTATGTTTTTGTCCATGATCAGTAGTTGAGCGTTACAAAATGCGCAAAAAAAGCTCAAACTCTTTTAAGAAACCTCTAATAAACTCAGTCCTACAACTCTTTTAAGTGCAAATTGCCTTAACGAAAATTCTACATTGTTATTCTTCGACAGATATAAGACGATGTACTTTCATTTACCTGATTATTGCATAAGATTTCTATAGAAGGTTTAAGCTTTTGCCAAGGCTTTAAACCAGACCGAAATGATCCATCACCAACTGTCGAAGAGAGTCCAGGACCAAAAGGAACGTCCGGATTTACATTATCCAATGGCTTGTCGAGAACCATCTTCTCTATGACATAATTTACAACCTACATTAAAAAGCAAATGGGTTATATTAATACCACATTCAATCAAACTGAAATCATAACAGAATTATCATATTCAAATTCTTCACCAGAAAAAAATTAAATTTAAGCAAAAAGTAATCAAGTCCACCAGAAAACCAGAAATTACTCAGTAGATTCCCAGATGATGGATGCAACTCTGTGTTGGTAATCCTGTAATAGATTTACGCAAAAAGACTAGGTCCTGATTTTTAAGTGATAAATTCTACAAAAAAAAGTTGCCACTTCTTGTAAATCACCCAGCACAACAAAGTAAGAGGGTTGGGTTGGACACAAAATTTACCTTCTTCCCATTAATTATCCATCTCAATGTCCCAACAAAAACTCTATCTAACCTATGGATCTTTTGGTACCACATATCATATAAAATGTTATTTATTTATTTATTTATAAGGGAATTTCATTGATGTTTGAAGTTTACAAAAGGGAATTTCATTGATGTTTGAAGTTTACAAAAGGGATGTATCCATGGTGTTTACCAAAAACCTTCCCAATTTACAATGAGGAAGGTATGACAATAGGATGCAAAAATATTAGACAATTTACACGATGATATAGACCAGTAAACAAGATTGTCGAAGAGTTTTGTATAAGTCTGTGTTTTTTCGATGAATACTCTTTGAGCTCTTTCTTTTCACAGATTCCAAAAGAAAAAGTGAGATGATATCCAAAGATATCTTGAGACCGTCTATCTGGGGTTCAACCTCAAAAATTATCTTTACAACTATGTAACTTAAACCTTGTTTTGTACCACCAATCAACAATCTCGTTTTTTACCATCAATAAACAATCCCTAATGGAATTTTCTATCGGGATGGAGGTTTTTTTCTATCTAGCTTTGTTCAAAAATTTCCATATAATCGATGAAATTATGTTATTTTATTTT